GTCTGGAGGCAGAGGATCATATGGTCTGACACAGTTAACCGTCAGCAACTCTGCTGTGATTTGTGAGACGCAGCCTCAGATTTGCTGCTGGAATTGAGCCACAAATCCACACCAGGCTGCTTGACTGGACGACCGTCATCCACAGGCCGCCGCGCCTTTAATTGGTCAATATGGAAAAGGTGTAAATATGGCCGTGCTGCTGCTGCTGCTGCTGCTGCTGCTGCTGCTGCTACACAGAGCGTTCACTTCAACAAATCAATAGGAGCCGTTGGTTTAAATTGGTCGAGTCGACGACTGCAGCTGCAGCAGAGCTTAATGAATCAGTGGTAACAGTGGAGAAATACTGCCCCCTACGACCACTGGGTTTATTTTACACTCACATAAAACATCTGCAAATATATGCACAACAGTACTACACAGTGCTGCTGCTGCTGCTACACAGAGACATAATACACACACGTGTTTGTGTTAGAGTTAGCTCCACCGCAGCCTGAAGTCGTCACCGCTCTGTTACAATTAATAAAAAAGGAGAATCCTGCTGACTCCTTGTTTCAGGAATCCCTCTTCAGGGAAACCTGCCGATGTCAGGTGAGTCACGTGACCTGCCGACCTTTTATCCCTGATGTGGAGATTCCACCCAGACTGCAACTGTTTTCTGGATGGAACGATGTTTATGACGTCCAATCAGGAGCCAGCTGGATAAAAATAAAAGAGGCAGCCAATCCCAGACCATAAACCAGACCAGACCAGAGGCTCGGAGCCTAAATCAGCGCCGGCGTGTCGTTCCACCAGAGACAACGCCGCAGCTCCCGTCATTATCTCTGTGTCTCCACCATCCAACGGCTTTCACTCTGCCTGACGACACAGACACAGTTCCTGTTAGAGTCTTCACAGCCTAATTTGGCAGCAGGAGAAAAAGATAAAGGGGGGGGGCAGGAAAAGTGATCCCCACGGAGGGAACTGAGCGACACAGAAACATTTGTGCAGCTGCTTGAGTTTCAAACGGGACGGTTTTCACCGTTCAATGAAAAATGACAATGTCTGTGAATCATACTCCTGTCTGCAGAAGGAGGCGCTGTGACAGTCACAGGAGACGACGGGTGGGCTCTGAAGGGTCGCTCTGTGGTGTTCGACTGTCGGGCAGAGGGGTGGTACCCTGAACCTGGTCTGCAGTGGCAGCTGAACGACAGGGAGGTAGGAAACACCGGCGCCGTGGGGACGTCCGATATCAACTGATGCCGATATAGTGGTGCAGTGGTGACGTTAAGTTCACTAAGGCGATATAGTGGTGCAGTGGTGAAGTTCACTAAGGTGATGGGTTAAATCAGTGTTTCTCAAATATTTTCTGCCCCCTAGTGGACAGAAATGAAATACTACTGGTAATATTGATTAATTTCTCTGTCCAAACCACAGTAAGAGTCGACGCACCAACGTTCTCCAGACAAACACCTGATTATTAATGTAGATGAATAAAATGAGCTGCTATGCTGCCACCTAGTGACTACAGGCGTTGATAATGTTCTGTTCACGTGTTATGAAGGAGGTAACAGTTATGGGAGGAGGGGTGAGGACTGAGAGAAATAAAGGAGTTTAGAACCAGTGTCTGCAGCTGTGTTTCAGTAAAAGTTCTTCACACACCGAGGCGTCTGATTGGTCCGTCGTCGGGGCATTAAACTATTTTAAGAACACAAATCATTTGGTGAAACCCAGGCAAACAATTTGAACATCAGCACCATGTTATTGGACATCCTTAAAATAAATTCTTTAACATTTTGGACATTTGTCCTGACAGCAGGTCTGTCCCCTGTCTGTCTCCTGTCTGTCTCCTGTCTGTCCCCTGTCTGTCCCCTGTCTGTCTCCTGTTTGTCCCCTGTTTGTCCCCTGTTTGTCTCCTGTCTGTCCCCTGTCTGCCCCCTGTCTGTCCCCTGTCTGTCCCCTGTCTGTCTCCTGTCTGTGAAGGTGGTCCAGTCTGAGTCCAACGTCAGCAGTGAAGAGTCGGAGAGCGGTCGACTCTTCACCGTGTCCAGCCGCCTGGTGGGGGGGGCGGGGAGGAGGATTGGGGG